GACCAGCAGCCACTGGCGCGCGCACTGCCACTGCGACCCCGGGAGTCTGCGCCCGGCAGCGCCCTCCTCCCGGCCTCACAGCTGTCCCCAGCCCCCTGGGTCTGGGCAGCATCCTAAGGAGAGCCCCCCCAGCACTAGGGTCTCTTTGAGATAGGGGTGCCAGGCCTCATCGCTCTCCCAGAAGCCCCCAGGGAAGGGCATGCTTGGTAGTGCCCTCAGTATGTATCTTCGGTCTCAGTACCCCCCCTCCTTGTGCCCTTGGGACCCACAGCACTCAGCGCCTACAGTTCAGTGGTTCAGGATCTCACCAGAGGCTCCCAGTTTTAGTCTCCTGGCTGTCCATGCCTGGGGCCCCCAGCTTGAGAAAGCGTGGACATACCCCTGTACTCCTCTAGGACCCTCTGCAGGACAGGCTGGGAGCCCTAGGACAGCCTACGGGCCCCACCCTCCATCTGGAGCCTCTGCCGGGCTGACCCCTTTTCCCACCTGTGTTTCCTCTTCTGCTCCTGGGGGCTGGCCCAGTGCTCAAGCCTCCAGAAGACCCTAAGGCCACCGAAGCCATCACCATCACCCCAGCATCCTGCCTCCCACCCCAAGCGGCCAGGCTCGTTGCAGCGACTCTTTCCCACCATCACCCTAGCCCAGGCTACACCTCTGCCAGCCCCACCACAGAGGACCCAATTACCAGAGTCTGACAGGGCTGCAAGCTTTTTATCAAAAAAGTTAAGACAAGCAGTGTCACAAAAGAACATTTTAATACTAAAGATGTGGGAAGGCCATGATTTCATTCTGAGGGCTCCCTAAAATAGACTGGTGTGGAGTTGTCCCTTCCTGCCCGTCCTGAGAAAGCCCTGCCACCCACTGACCTCATTGACCACAACAGCCCTTCACCTTTGAGGACCACTAGTTTCTATCCAACCAGGATCTGTGGGAGCCTCTGGAAGGGTCTTGCTTCCTTGGAGTCATCTGGCCCTTCCTTCCCCCACATCGTGCCCTTGGCCTTATGGGGGGACAGACAGCACCAAGACCCTGTCTGAAACAGGCTGATCGACCTTCCAGCTGACCTGACCCAGGGGCTGGGAGAGGCCCAAGCTCAGCCCTCCCAGTGGCCATGGCACTCCCATTCCTATGTGCCTCAGCCTGGACTGTGTCCTGGGTGAGCCCCAGGTGTCCTCTTGACCACCTTCCTGCAGTGGTCTCAAGGAGCACTGGCTGCCAGGATGTAGGGGCCCAGGGGATCTGGCCGGATGCCCCTGGGGTGATGGTGGCTGAGGCCTCTGGCCAAGCAAGTAGGTCCTCAGGTATGAGAAGCACCTGCTGCAGGGACACTGGGGGTATGTCCCTCTAGATGAGGTCTCAATCCTGACCCTGGGGTCAGGGGGCACAGGCCTAGCACTGCCATTTCAGGATGGCGCTTAAGCCATGGTTCTGATGGGGCCCCAGACATCAGGGCCTCCATTATCCCCTGTGCCCATCTTGTCACCCAGGAAGGTGGCAGCATTCCCACAACATTGCCATTGAGGCCAGGCCCTCGATGGGGAGGCTGGCACCTCTATGCTTGGTGCCTCAGTGCCTAGCACTGCCCTGGGTGCTGTGCCACCCTGCCTCACTCTGGGTCTCCACAGCGCCCACATCTACCTGCTGTGTAAGGGCAGCCACTTCAGGGACCTGCACTGGACATGTCCACCTCCCTCCCTTCTGCCGCTGCACATTTTGCATCTGCACTGTGGGTAGGTTCTGTACTAGGCTGTCCTGGGCCATGGTCAGGGTGGACCATGTTCTGAGAGTGCGCTGACACTAGGAACAGCAGTCTGCACCTGCTGTGCAAGTGATCAACCCCGACTCACTAATGTACAGTTAGCCAAAGTTCCTCCACTGGCGCCCCCTTCAGGCATCACAGGGCACTGAGCCAGCTGCACATAGCCCAACAGCAGCCTTGTAGGCATCTATGCAACCTGGAAGATCAGACAAGGAGCCCAAGAGTCTGCATGGTCAGGAGACCCACCCAGCAGTTCCCAGCCAGTAACGTTCATCTGGGGCTCAGCTGCAGCTCTGGTTTACCCCTCAGTGTACATCTCCCACTGCCCTGCCAGCATCACTGTCTGTGGCCACAGCACTACCTTGCTCGGCCCAGGCTCCAGTGTAGGACCCAGAGGTGGCACCTCAGGGCCCTGCCAAGGTCATCTGAACCAGGGTTTTGGGAGCTGGGTAGCAGAGTCAGGCCAATCCAGAACCCTCAGGGCCCCATGGGTGAGTGTGGGATGTGTGGAGTTCCAGCAGAGAGGCTGGGACCGTGCTATGGATCCCAAGGGCCATTATGGGCCTGCTGTCCCAGCAGGGCCTCCACATCACTGCTACTCTCTCCTGAACAGTCCCAAGCAGGCAGGGGATGAACACCAGAGTGGCCTCTCCCTCCACGATGGCTGACACGGGCAAGGTGCCCCTCCTGTTTCCACAGGGCAGGATGGGCAGGTGGCAAGGGGCCCTGCCAGCTGCCTCCCTCCATCCTGGAGGCCTGCTGGGCTGAAGGACACATCAAACACCACGTGGGGTGTGGGCAGATGGGCAAGAGGAGGGTGGGTGGTAGATGTGCCCAAATCAGCCAGGGCTCTAGCCCTTCCAACTCCCCTAAACACCCCCTAAAGCCAAGGAGGGCAAGCGGGGCTGGAGAGAAGAGCTTTGCTAGCACATAATCCCCCACAGTCAGGGACCAGGCTGTGGTTCCAAACGTTGCATTTACTGCTGGGACAAAGGCAGCACAAGGAGAGGGACGCAGCCCGGGCAGGGGGCCAAGCTGGGAGCAGGCACTAGGCAGAGGGCCCCACAGGGGGAGGCTTGGCAGACCAGGCCTGGGGACCGCACACCTTGGCCCATCCTAGGGAGGGCACAGGACAGCCTGGAGGTCCTTCGGCAGGGAGCCGATGATCATCTCAGTGTACAGCTGTGCCCGCTGCAGTGTCACTTCCTTCACAGGGAGCTGGTGGCCCTGTGCCCGCACCTGCAAGGGCAGTGGCAGTCAGAAGCAGGACATCTCCTTCCAGGCAGTAGCACCTAGGCTGGGCAGAGCAGGGAAGCTGCTCACCAGCTTCTCCCGGAGTTTCAACACCAGGTCCACCACCTCCACCTCTGACTTGTCCTTCATCCAGGTCTCAATATTCTGCAGCGACATTGTAGGTCCTCTGTCACAGAAGCCCCTCCCACCTTGCCCCAGACCCCCAGACTCCTAAAGCCCGACTTCCTGCTGGCCCTCGCCTCTCTCACCGCTTCACAGATAGCCTCCAGGTGCAGGGCTTCCAGCTTCTGAGCCATCTCTTTGTGCCGCTGCCGGTACCAACCATCAAAGTGTGGTGACTTGAAAAACCGCCTGTAGGTGGCAAGTGAGGGGCTGGCCCAGTGTGCCAAAGGTGGCCATGGGCAGCTTGCACCATGTACCTACCTGTAGAGGCCCAGCCAGTCGCCCTTGAGGATGCAGGTGAGCTGAGGCCCCGCATGCTCTAGACTGTGCAGGAAGTCATCCTGGCGGAAGGGACGGATCTGGGGAGGGGTCTGAGATAGAGCCAGTGAGCACGTGCAGGGGAACACAGCCTACAGCCCCGCACCCAGGACTCCCCTTCATGGACATATCTAAGGCTCACCCTACCCAGGGGTTTCTCAGACCCCTCCCTTCTCTGCCCTGGGAAGGACACAGTGGATGCATGCCCCAGATCTTCCCTTCTCTTGGATGGGGACACCCAGACCCCCACCTTCCAGGGTGTGATGCTTTTCTGCAGCGGCATAAGGCTGGCCATGTACTGTTCCTGGGGGTGAGAGAAGAGTGAGCCTGGAGCCTTTGTCCCCCACTGCTGTCCCCTCCTGCCTGGGCCTCACCAGGGGGATGATGAAGCTCTGCGTGAGCTCCAGGAGATGCCGCCTCAGCAGAGCACTCTGCACATCCCATGGCCGCTGCTTCTGCACACCCTGCCAGAGGGAGGCAGGGAGCTGAGCCCAGATTAGCCCAGGCCCCAGGTGCCTTCACCTCACGCAAGCCCCTATATCGTGCCTCCACCCCTCAGTTCCTACCTTGAGCAGTCGTTTGAGTAGTGCCTTGTCCCGGTGGAGGTGGGCTGTGTAGGAGGTGTAGAGGCCTGGCAGGAGAGCAAGGCAGTGGCCGTCCTTCCGTCCTTCAGGGTTTCCTCCCTCCCACTCTGCTGCAGCCCCAAAGGGTATCTGACAGGGCATCCGATCTTGATGGGCATCACCTGCGCATCTCAGCCCACCCTACCCCAGGGTTCTAGAGACCTGCTGAGGAGGAGGGTATGGCCCCTTTCCTGACACCTCTCAGTGGACAGAGAGGGTCTAGGGAGGCCTGGCTGCCCCACTGGACTGCCAAGTGCAAGACCAGCCCCGCTACAACAGAGGGGGCACAGACCTGGCTTGGTGTCGAGGGTCTTCAGCCTCGAGGGCTTTTTCAACTTGATCTGCTTAGGAAGATCCCCTGCAAGACACACCCACTGCTCTGGCTATGCCTGCAGGCTTGGTCTGACCAGGTAAGGCTCAGGTTGGGTTTAGACACTTCCAGATACTAGGCTGGGTGAGGCTTCAGAGCCCACCACCCAGGCCTCCCCAGCACTCCTCACCTGACATCTTGGGCTCCCCAATTCGGAGGATATGGGGCCAATGCTGGAGTGTTTTGATAAAGAAAGGATTTGTGACTCCCAGGACCACGTTAGGTCTAGAGAGAAAGAGAGAGGAGAGAGAGAGAGAGAGAGAGAGAAAGAAGAGGCAAAGAGAAGCTGGGCAAGTGGCACGGGCTGGGGCAGAGTGGATAGATACACTTACGGGGCCTGGGTTCTTGTGGTAAGCTCCTTAAATTCACTATCGTGGATAGTAAAGTAGGGGCGGAAGTCACAGCAGAACTTGAGGGGCTGCAGGCAGCTGTGGGATGGGACAGCAGAAAGCAGGTGAGACAGGGTGCCAGTTGTGTAAGGATGGCCAGGGACAGAGGCACATACCTGGTCAGGGCCAGCACCATCTCCGAGGACATATCAGGTGAGGGTGCCAGAACTACCAGGGGCTCCCCAAGAAGCATGAGCTCCCACAGCGTCTGCACATGGGTCAGCACAGGCTGGAAGCACCTGTCAGTGGGCAGTAGGGATCAAGTGGGGCCTGGGACCTCCAGCACGGTAGGTATAAGTCTGGCAGGGCCCAGCCTTGGGTGAACATAGGGCCCTGCTCAGGCAAACAGGGTGGGGAAGGTATATGAAGACCACAGATCATGCCTCAGGTTGCCAGGCCACCCTAGGCTCTGTCAGACGACTTGGGCTCCATCTGCTTTGGAAGTGGGGTATGTGGGCTGGACACAACCTGGACCTGGCCTGTAAGGGGCCAACAATCTTACAGCATCCCCAAAACCCAGGTAGGGACCCATCCCGGCCCACTGTCCCTCAAACCTGCAGCTCTGCAGCTCTGGGCCCACGTCCCCTTGACAGCCTCTCTAGGCATTGCTTCTGGAACCTTCCTGCTTACAGTGCCCACATCTGGGCACAGGTTTCCTCTTCTGCACAACTCTCCCTCTCTCAGGATGCCCCAAGTATCACTCATGACTAGCAGTTCCTCCATGGGGCAGCTTTTCCCAAAGCAAGCCACAACCCCAGTACTCACCTGAATAGGTCCAGTTCATGGACGCTCGAGAGGACCACGGGGGCTGGCAGCAGGTTCTGAAGGTGGAGGGCAGGCAGTCAAGGATAAGGATGGAGGCTTTCATGGGGCTGTGCTGGGTTTGTCACCCCACAGGGAGGTGAGGCAGATCCCCGTCCCCCACCTCTTGGTCACACTGTTTCGGAGGACTGGATTCTGGCTTGTCCACCCTGGATGGGATGCACACCTGTGGAGGGGGGGCAGCTGCCAGAGGGAGCAGGGTATCTCCACACCCCTGCACACTCACTTGGTGGAGGCCCTCACCTGGATGATGATGCCCATGACAGGTAGGTTCAAGGTCTTCCCAGGCACAGGGGCTGGCCACTGGTCAATCTCATTACAAACTGTGAACACAGTGGTCCAAATCAGGAGCCCTCCCCAAGGAGAAACTGTCTGCTCAGACCTGCTGCGAGGCACATCAGCCACACCTGCCACTCACCAGCTTCCAGACAGGGTGCCAGCTTGTCAAAGTACTCTGGGGCCATCAGGCTCAGCAATGACTGGAACAGCCGGACAAAGGGCAGGCGGGACAGCAGCACCAGGGACTGCAGTCATGCAGGGCCCGTCAGAGGGTAGACAGCTCCAGGGTAGCTGGGGCTGGTCCAAGCAGTGCCTCCAGCTGCCCAGAGGGGCACACTCTGACCCCAAGACCATCAGCAGACATCAAGGTTGGGAAGTACCCCAACCCTCAGAGGGAAATGTGAGGCAGTGAGGTTCCTGGGTCCATCTCCCCAGGGGCCATGTTCCTGGGTTCAGTACTAAAGTTGTCCTAATCCTGAAGATGTGGCAGGACCAGCAAGCACTGAGGGCCAGGGCTGTCTGGGCCTAGAGAAGGGCCACCAGTGCCACCTGAAGTAAAGGGATACGAGGGGAGCCAGGCATATGGAGTCCTTTCCTAGCCTTGCTGCATTGGCTGGACAGCAGAAGGGTGGACACTCCTGGAGCTCAGACTCTAAGCCACCCCAGGGGCCCCCTGTGCCTGCCAAAGTGGCAAGGACTCACCTTCTGGAAGTAGCCCCTCTTCACAGAGCTGTCCTTCACCTGCCGGAAATACACGTAGCCAAGGTAGTGTGCTGGCTCCCTCTGGAAAGAGTGTGTGTTAGCCATGCCCACTCAAGCCATCTGGTGAGGTCGAGAAATGGGCAGGGACTTCTGGGGGTTGGCACTTAGGGATGCAGGTGGCTTGGGGCCAGGTTTCCCAACATTCTGGGGCCTGTTGTCAGGAAGGTGGAAACCTTCCAGGGTTAGACCTAGGCTTCTGGGCTCAGGTGGGCAACGCCCTCCAGGAACAGCTCCTCCTATGCAGCAAGGGATGCTGATGGGGGGGGGCCTTCTCTTCACAAAGCCCTGATGTGAAGGACCCTGGGGACCTTGGTGAGTCACCAGAGGGTCGTACAGGTTGGCACTTGGGCCTGCAGGACCAGCAGGGCTTGCAGTGGTCAGTGACCCCCAACAGGCCTGGCTGGCACCTCTCCTGCTACATGGTGCCAGCAGCTCTGAAGGGGCTGATCACACTGCCAGGGCATCCTGGGAGGGGAAGGGAGCACCCACCACTCACCTGCAGTGCCACGGGGGCCTTGCTGTTGTAGGGTTGATCATCAGTGTGCCAGGGGCTCCTGTGCCCACCACACTGACGCATACGGAAACTGAACTGAGTGTCCCCGAGGCAGCCTGAGGAGGGGCAGCAGTGCCCTGAAGGTCAGGGTAGGAGACTCCACTGCCACTATCAGGTGGGGTAGATACAAGGAGGCAAGGGGCCTGCAAGGCTGAACCCTCCTGGCACAAACACCGCAGAGAGGACCCCAGCCTGAGGGACTGTTTCCCTGTGTATACCCCCAGGTAAGGCCTTGCAATAAACTCAGTACACAAGAGAAGCACCTTCACTGTCCCCGGGGGTACATAGGCCCAGCCTGCCTGGGACAGGAGACCAGGCACTACACAGTGGCCACCAGAAAGAAGCAGGAGTAGGGCAGTGGACCCAGCTCCTGGTGGCAAATGGGGAGGGTGCAAGAGACCAGATTCTGCTGGTACCTTTGCCCAGGCCATCTTTTCAGGTTTTTCCTGCTGCAGCATGGGGCTCCAGTGTTTCCACAGGGCCAGGGACAGGTGGGTGTGACCTATTCCTGGAGCAGCCTTGATGCCTTTGGCCTGGGTCCCATCACCCCAGCCCCAGAACCAGCATCCAGCCCAGGGAGGGTGGGGTTGCCTACCTGAGTGGGAGTCAGGAAAGGACAGGTAGCAAATGCTGCTTTTCTGAAACACAGAGCCAATGAGGGCTTCTCCCTCGTGGGGACATCTACTCCCAAGAGCACTAGGACTTACCTCCTTGTCCGTGAGCCGGAAATCACTTGGGTACACCAACTGTAGGTGAGGACAGAGTACTTGGTGTCACCACTTGGCTACAGCACTGGCCCACTAGAGCCGGCCTCTTCCAGGACTCTTTCCAGCATCCCTTTCCCTCCCCACACACCACCTTCCCTGGCTCAGGCCCCCTTGGTTCCTTTTTCCTCTCAGTGATTTTCTTCTTATCTCCTCCTGCACACAGCCCTGGGTCAAACCTCCACTACCCCTCCACACAAAGATCCTGCAGGCCCCCACTCCCTCACCCCTTCCCTTGGCCAGAGGGTCTCAGGCTCAGCTACCTCTTCTTGTGTCTTCTTCTACCCTGCCCCTTGATGGCCAACTTCTACTAGGCCTTCTCTCCCTGTCCCTGCTTGATCCTCTTCCCAGGGCCTGTGGCCCACCTGCATGGCCAGCTGGGTAAGCCTCCCCCTGGCCTGGGGAGTGGGCAGTCAGGTGACACCCAGACACTGAAGAGCAGGCTCTGGTCAAACAGTCCAGAGGCTGGCTAGAGATCAGCATTCTCTGCAGAAGGAAGTGAGCTGGGTAAGCCCAGCTAGAAGATCCCTGTAGTGTACTAAAAAGGCCCCTTCGCAGGGGCCCCAGAAGTGTCTCCTGGGCTGACTCTCACGGTCTTCTCCTGTCTACCCAGCACCTATGCTGAGGAGTCACACGGACTGAACCCTCAGAAGTGGAGGACTGCTGTCCCTGGAATGAACACTGCCCACTCTAGGAACAACATTGCTTCTTGTCCCTGTTTGGCCTGGGCTTGCACTCTGCCCTGTTTTATCTCTTCAAATGTGTACTAAGTCTCTTGAAGTCAGGGACTCTGTCCTGGTTACTTTTGCCTCCCAACACTTGGCAGGAAACAAACCCTTTCCAAATACAGCATCTGTGGAAGGTGTGAAAATTCTTCCAGGAGGTAGACCAGAATAGGTAGGAGAGATGGCTAATTTTAGAAGTCAATTTGACTGGGGCCAGGGATTTAGCTCAGAGGTTCCACTGCCTGCCTTGCAACAGCAAGGACCTGAGTTTGATCCCCAGTACCAAAAGAAAAAACAAATGAATGAATAAAAAGAAATCAATTTGACTGGATTAAGGAATACCTAGGAAACTAGGAGAACACCACTGCTGGGTGTGTCTACGAGAGTGTTTCCAGAGGAGATTGGCATCTGGGTTGGTAGGCTGAGTGGGGAAGTTCTGCACTTGATGTGGGGCCCCAGACAACAAAAATAGCAAAGGAAAGGCAATTTCCTCCATCATCGCTAGAGCCGGGACATTTTCTGCAGACATCAGAACTCTAGGTTCTGTTCTTGGGACTCCAGGCTGTGCAGCAGAGCTGGCCCCTCCATCCCAGCTTCTCAGTCTCAGGCCTGAGCCATGCAGCCAGTGTTCCAGGGTCTCCAGCTTGCACACAGCCTACTAAGGGTCTGCTTGGCCTCCAGAGTCACATGAGCTAATTACCCTAATAAAGCTCACCCATCCATCCACTTATCCATCCAGTCCATCGGTTTCTCTGTGGCAGAGGTACTTCTTTGCAAGGAAGCATGGTCAAGGAGCTGCCAAGTACACCTGCACCACTGGGTCATGCGGGAGAGGGCAGCCAGGAACAGGTAGGAAGCTAAGGGGGATTTGCTAGTGAGATCAGACCAACAGGGATGCCTGAAGATAGCTCAGGGAGAAGCAGGAGCACAAGACATTCGGCTGAACCTACGTCTGTACTTCAAGGAGGGAGGACAGGTGGTGCTCGTCACTGGGGCAGGGTCACAAGGGGTCCTTTTCCAGAAGTCAAAGGAGCCTGAGGCAGGCCCCTCACCTCAGCTCTACATCCATGTCCTGGGGCCCCACGAGAATATCTGATCAGGGAAACGTGTGTTCATGGCTGGAGCAACCTCTTTGCCAGTGGCCCTGGAGTCCAGGTAAGCCTCGAGCTGAACGCTGGCCTAGGTCAGGTGGGCCATGCCCAAGTGAGGGGACAAATGCAGCAAACCTCTATGCAAGGAGGCCCTCCTTATACCCCCAGATAGGCTCTGCCCTGCCCAGGGTTCCCACACAAGCCTTGTCCTTTTTACCTGGCTCTCTGAGCAGTGGTTCTCAGTGGGGACCAGCAGCCCCTCAGGTCCACAAGGCCAGACTAGTCCCCTAAGTCAGCGCCTGCTTCATGCTCATCTCACTGCACACACAGAGCCCCAGAGGTGATGCCTGTGACCCTGACAGACTACTGTGGAAGCTGATATGAGCATCTACCTGCCTTCTATCTGGTCAGGTATTAGCCAGTCTTGTCAAAGCAACAAACAGCCAGGCGGGCTGATGCATACCTGTAATCCCAACAACTGGAGGCTGAAGCAGGAAGATCACTTTGAGTTCAAAGCCAGTGTGGGTTACATAGTGAATTCAAGGTGTACCTGAACTGCATAGTGAAACCCTGCCCCTCCACCAAAAATGCATCAAACTATACTTCGTTTTCCACTGGTTTTTGTTTTAAAAATGTTTTTTTCCTCATAAATATATACATTAATACGTAAGTTTTTTTCCTTAAATGAATTAAAGTGCCCTATTCTAATTTAAGCATAATAAACATGGACAGATATAACCCATGCAAACAAAAAGCTCTCTGGAGTCCTCAATAGCTTTAAGGTTGAGACTGCATAGCATGGGTGCTGCCACCCAGAAAGAGCCCATATGGATGGGGCTCCTTGGCCACTCTGGCCACAGGACCTCCCAGATGAGCCAGGATATTGAGCTGGTTTCTCAAGAGCTAAGAGCCAGGCCCTCTCTTCACCTGACCTGATGCTCCAGGTGCCCTGGATGGACCACGCCACTCCTCTCTAGCCTTGCATGCAGGCTCCAGGACAACCATCTGCATGGGACTCCACGTGCAGGTGCTAGGTCCAGAACCATTACTGTTTCTAACAGATGGACTCCTGAACAGCAAGAGCCTGGCTGGTGACAGCTGCTCAGTACTCAATAACCTCTTGCCTTGGCTTACTGTGGCTTTTTTTTTTTTTAACCAGGGATCGAACTCAGGACCTACCGCTTGTGAAGCAGGTGGTGGTACCATTGAGCTAAATCCCCTGCCCACTGTGGCTTTTTGAGAGAGCAGTTGCCTGAAAATAGACAGCCCATCCCACCCCTGTTGTGTAGCTGCCTCCTTTCATCCTTCAAGGCTCAGCTGAGCCTGTCTCAGTCTCTTTTGAGCAGCCTGTGTCTTCCTTTGGCATCCTGCATAGGACAATGCCAGGGCTTTTCAATCATCAATCAGCCAGGCTCAGCTAAGTGAAAGTCAATAGGAGCCCACTCTTCCCCCATGATTCTAGAGGAGGGATGACAGACAAGACACAAACCTGAAGAGGGTAATGTGACTGAGAGCCACCTCACATACTGCTGCCCAGTGTTTGGCACAGACTCAAGTCACCAGGAGCTTGGGGGTCTCCCCCTACCAGCCTCAGGAGCCCAGACAGACAGAAAGACATACATACACACACACACACACACACACACACACACACCACACACACACACTCTCTATCACTGCATACTTAGAACTCTCTGAATGGTTATATTTTAGAAAATTAGACATGAGATCCCTTAAGGAAAGGCCCCGTGTGTGTGTGTGTTAGTTTCAGAGTCTTACTACAACGGGTCCAGGATGGCCCTGAACTCACTACAAAGCCTAGGCTAGCCTCGTTTGTGATCTCCAGCCTCAGCCTCCCTATTGCTGGAATTACAGGTGTATACAATACTTAGCTCCCTTGTGATTTTTATGGGGCTCAATCTGGGCAACAGAAAGTGAGCTCCCAATGTAGGGCAAATCACCTCGCCTCTCAGGCTCCATCAAGTTGTGTCATCTGCACACCTGGTGCACAGGTGGTGGCCCAGTGTGCAATAGGATGAGGTTCCCACAGGGTGCTGAGTATTGTGCCAGGAGCCCAGGGGTCCTGGCCATGAATTATAGTTTTCCGTTTGGCCAACTTTGGACTTCTCAGAGCTTCTCAGTGTTCATCGGGGCCTTAGGAAGCATTTCCCACTCACCAGGAAAGCTACACTGGCTTTCCTGAGGGTGACTCCTCAGCCTCATCTGGCCCACTGCAGTGATGGGGTGCTCATGGCTCCCTGCGCACTTAGAAGTGCCTCCTAGTGGTTGGTGCAGCCTACTTCCCAGGCACCTCCACCTGTGGCAGGCCTCCTTCTGCTGGTTACTCCCTGGTCTGTGTCAAGGCTCTTCAGCGGGATCATCCTGACTGTGCCTGCAGGAGCCAGCCTAAGCCTGCAGCATTTCCATCTATACCTGGAGAAAGGGAGGCTGTCCCTGTGGGTGGGGGAGGGCAGGCAGTAGGAAAACCACAACAAAGGGCCGGCAGCTGGTGACCCAACGTTGAGAACAGTAGGGGATGCAGGCCAAGCAGGGGCTCGCAGGGTCTTGATCTGACTCTTAAGTGAAGGGGTGACTGGACTTTAAACAGGAGAGGCACAAGGGTTGAACCGAAGAGGGGGGCTGGGGTAGGGAGGAGGTGACACTGGTGACTTCAGCAGACATGGATGAGAACCTCGCTCCATGGATAACTGTCAGCCTTGCCCTGAGCATGGGATGTGGAGCTATGAAGGAGGCTTCAAAGGGGGAGCAACCGGGGTTATGATTTTGCCTGGATGGGGACAGGGGCTAGGGTAATGTTACAGGGGACCCCCCTGGATATGGAGAATCAGGCCCTGTCTCCCACCTGTCTGGGCAGCGCTCCAGGAGCCCTGAGGAACGGGTGACAGGCATGAGGAGGAGGAGGTGGCACCAGGTTCGTCGCAGGGAGTTGTGGAAGGGGTCAGAGGTCGGTCCGAGGTACAGCGTGTTCAAAGGGCGAGGCGGGAGTGCGGGCAGGGAGTGAACGGGGATGGGACGGACCTGAGAGGGCAGGAAGTAGAGGAGCCGGAGAGAGGAGCGGCGGCCCGCCCGCGCCCGCTCACCTCCAGCGCCTGGCCCAGCTCCAGGTCGAAGGTGACCACG